TGGTATAGCAAAATGATTCCCTGTAATGAAGCCCAGGAAATCAATGTAAAGTTTAATTACAGTTGTGGCAGTGTTGTATGAGAATATTGCTTTGGTCAATTTGACTTGTACAATTTATCAGTCCTCTCTTTGAAGAATTGCTTTGATGAACTAAGTAAATACATTCTTTATTAGCTTGTGATCCTTTTTAGAAATGTCTTAGAAATTTTAAATTTCCAAGAATAGTTGCTATCATTTTATGTATATGTCCATTTATACTTTGTATATTTAAACCTAAGCAGTATTTATCACTGTTACTCTTCATAAAATCTTATTCCATTTCCTTTGTCAGTTTTTTGCTAACCGTTTTCTGTTTCTTCTCAGCTTATCAGGTAGACCCATTAGTCACAAATCTAATGTGTTGTTTACCATTCATGAAGTATTGGGATGAATGAAAAAGAATATACTTCCTCCTTGGAAGAACAGTTTTTAGCAAAATTTCTTGTAGGATCTTTTTATTTTTGACAGTTCACTGCTTATGACACTTTCTTAGCCACTGTGTTGTAGATTGTCTTTTTTGTTGTTTTGAGACAAGGTGTACCTTTGTATGTAGCCCAGGCTGGCCACCAACTCTTTTTCCTCTGGGATTCCAAGCTTATGCTACCATTTACAATACTGTATGCTTACAGATATCTACATTTTTTTCTTTATTTTGGTGTTTCTAGATTTTACTAATTATATGTTGAAAAAGTTATAGTGCATTTTCATTTAAGTAGTATTGTTCTTTGTGAGTGGCTTATTTGGGGTGTAAGGTTTAAGGCCTTAAATTAGAGTCAGTAATTATTTTGACTGATTTGCTCTGTGGATGGAAGAGTTTACCTAGTTTGATTGAAGAGGGGAAACAGAAGCACTGCAGTCTCTTCCCTCTGATTCTCCCACCCATACCATCACTGCTTTTGCCTGTCTGGTAGAAGTCTTCTCTTGTGACTGAGAAGTCGGCTGGGTGTTAGAGATTGTTCTTCTAGTCCTGGCAGTCATTGAGACTGGGCAGTATGTGAGAACCACCTCACCCATCCAGAGAACCATCAGTTTAAACAGGATGGCTGTCTAAGGAAAAGCTGCCTTTGCTTAGAAGGTTTGTGGCATGTGGTAACTGAAGAACACATCCTCCTGCAGAGGGCTGTTGTTGGAGCGTTCTAAAGGGAGTCTCGTTCTTTGCTCTGAAACGATGCCTTTTTTGATGGTCCTTAAGTGCATCCAGGTAAAGTTAGATTACTGTACATGAGAGGCTGTTTATTCTCCATTGGCTCATGGGTAAAGTGTGCCTGCAACCACTGTTTTCAAAGCCTGGATTCATTGTGGGACTCTCTTTGGAGCCTAAGTCATTACAGAATTAGAGCTAGAAACTTACTCCAGAGTGTTTCCTTTGAAATGAATGTTCCTGCTGGGCCTAGTGGCACACACCTTTAATCCTAGCACTTGGGAGGCAGAGCCAGGTGGATCTCTCTCAGTTCTTGGCCAGCCTGGCCTACATAGTGAGTTTCAGGCCACCTGGGGCTACAGGGAGACCCTGTCTCAAGAAGAAAAAGGGGAAAAAAAAAAAAAAAGAAATGAATGTTCCTTGCCCTTGTTCTGAGTGCTTGCTAGCTGCTGAACTAGTGAATTCTAAGTTCAGTGAAGTAATCTAACTCAAAAGATAGATGATAGATAGATGACAGATAGATGGATGGATGGATAGATAGATAGATAGATAGATAGATAGACAGAGATAGATAGATGATAGATAGATGATTGATTGATCGATCAAAGGTAGAAAGTAATTGAGGAAGGCATTTGACATCAGCCTGTAGCCTACACACACACACACACACACACACACTCTCACACACAGAAACCTATACCTGATCAATATTCTCTGACACACACACACACACACACACACACACACACACACACTCTCTCACACACAGAAACCTATACCTGATCAATACATTGGGGAAGAGCCTGTCCATATGGTAGAACTCTGGAGGACTTCTACAAGTTGCTGATGAGATCGAAGAGCACGCAGCCAACTTGGAGTCCTTAGGAGGAGCTCTCAGCTTCACTGGCGTACACCTGTTGATGGCAGTAGTGGTACTTCCCTGTTCTCTTCCTGTGGCATGCCACCTCCTCTTCATGATTCTTGTCTTTATGTCTTTGATTCTTTCCCACAAGCTATGAAGATCTGATGTTTTTCACACACTTCCTGTAGCACACATTGCCTGTTGACATCTATCCCTTCGGGGTCAGATGGGTCACTACACAGGCAACTGCAGTACTGTGTGCTTGTTTCCCAGTGTCTCTCCAAGCTCTAGTTTCCTGTTTTGTTGACTTTCCATACGTCCCATGGTTCCTCGGGAACAGTACACTTTCTAAGACCAGCCAGCTCTATCACAGCTTCTCTCATCTCCTGGTTTCTGTCAATCATCTTTGCACTGCCCAAGTGCTGCTCCACTCTGATTCCATTGTAGTTCATCTTCCTGCCGCCCACAGAGACCAGGTGCTGGTTGTTCTCTAATCAAAATATTCCTTACAGTCATTAGTTTCCCTATTACTAGGCTCATTCACAGTAGTTAATGACATCACTGCTTAGATTATTTCTCTGAAAAATTCTTTGCTCCCATATGTCCTGGTATGTATTACTACTAGTTCTAGATCACCTTCTTGCAAAGAGTCTTGAGGACTTTCAAGTGATATACAGAGTCCTCAGGTGGATGTTTTGCACTCTGGCAGCTCTACCTCTAGTAAGTACTGCTCTATGCTGGTAGAATGGCAATCCTGAAACAAAGGCAGCAGAGAATTAATTATACCCACAGGGCTCGTGGAGCTTAACATCTCTGTGTGGAGCCAGTGTGTGTTGAGTGCCAGAAGGAAGTACAAAGGATGATGTGAGGAGGGAGTTACTGGGCAGGTCTACTTTAGATGAGACAGCCGGGGATGTTCTGCCTAAGAAGGATATCTTAAATGGAACCTGAAGAATGAGAAAAAGCAAGCCAGAGAAAGCAGAGGAAACAAAGTGCAAAGCTCTTGAGGGAAAGGACGTGGGAGTGGCAAAGTATAGCCAGCAGCCCTCCTGACTGGACAGTAGTGAGCAAACTTAGAGAGAGATGGGGTGCACTTAGTGGCAGCCAAAGGAGTCAACATGTTACTGCAGGTACAATCCCCAGAGATCTTTAAGCAGTATAGTGTTCACAGTTTAAAACCTTAGCTCTAGAGAGAAGCAAGATGGATCAGGGAGACAAGTTAGGGAGGACACTCTTGTAGTGGTGGCTTGAACTCTATCAGGGCTTTATAATCTCTGAGTTATTGACATTGTAGCCCAGAAAATTGTTGGTGTTGGCAGGCAGGCTTTCTTGTGCACTCACTGTAAGATGTTTAGAACCCTGTTCTTTCCCTTCCAGAAGACAGCATCTTCCTCTCCCAGTTGTGGCAATCACGTCAGTAAAATTCTCACTATACAAGCATGAGGACCTGAGCCTAACCCCTACAGTAAAAAAATAAAAAGCCTGATATGGTACACACCTTCAGTTCCAGTTCCATGGAGACAGAGACAGGAGCCCTAGGGTTTCCTGGCCAGCCAGCTTACCCTAATTGGCCAGCCCAGGCCAGTGAGAAGTCCTGTCTCTAGAAACACATGGGTAGTTCTGTTGAACAACATTTGAGGTTGTCCTCTTGCCTTAGTATGCACAAGTGTACATGTGTACCTGTACACATACCATGTTTCCAGACATCACTAGTGTTCCTGGGGAGCAGAGCCACCCATCATTAAAAACCACTGCACTAGGATGGTGGCACTTGTGATGTTTGAAATGCATTGTCTATGTGGAGCAAACAGCATTTCAGCTTACCTTTTCTGTTGCATACCCTCCACCACACTACCTCTCTCCATCCCCCCTCTGAAAGTCCAACTTCAGTACAGTCTTAAAAGTTTTCCCTGATTAGCTCATCAGTGGTAAACCATTTTCCAGTGAATCTGACTGCCTCTTATCAGTTCCTCTCATAGACTCTTTCTGGCCCTGTCAACTTCTTTAAACCCCAGGAAGAAAGCATCAAGGCCACCCCAAAAGCGTGCATCAATTATGTGGCTTTGCTCCTGCACGCTGTTCACCTTCCAAGCCCAGGATCATCATCTGTTGTAGGCAAGCTTTCCATTACACCTGTCTGGAGCTTGTCACAGAATCAAACCCTCACAGTTTGCTATTGTGTGTTACAGTTATGGATAGGTGTCCTTCATTTCCCTGGTTACTCAATAGCAAAGTGAAAAACTTTTACAACTTTGTCTTACATAGTGCCAGCACTAGCACAGTGCTGGTGGTGAATTCAGTGTTCAGTAAATATTTGTTGAATGAGTAAATAAATAATTGAACTTGTAAGACCCATTTTGTTTCTCTACCTTTAAGTCTAATGGAGTAAAAAGAAAATACTTTTCTATAATGTGAGCATGTAATTTACTTTATTAATTTTATTTTATGTGTGTGAAATACAGGGCATCAGATCCCCTGGAGCTGTAGTTAGACAATTGTTAGCGCTGTGTGGGTGTTGGGAATTGAACCCAGGTCCTCTGCAGTTAAGAGTAGCCAATGCTCTTAACTGCTGAGCCATCTCTCCAGCCCTGAACATGTAGTTTTTTAAGTCAGAAAAAATATAGCTTAAAAATTTAGTTGTACTTTGATTTATTTTTTGTGTGTGCTTTAGTGTGTGTGTGTGTGAGTGAATACATGGAGGTCAGAGGGCAACTTGTAGGAATCTGTTTTCTCCTTCTACCATGTGGGTCATGGGAATCAAGCTCAGGTAGTCAGGCTTGGCAGCAGGAACCTTTCCACTCCAGCCCATCTTGTTGATCCAGAATGTCGATTTTTAAAATGAAAGGATGTCAGCTTGTTAGTCTGTGTTAGAATTGTCATCTTCTGGTATATGTGGAAAGTGGCTTCTGTGTCTTTTTGGCTTTTCTGGTGACTAATATTTCTGTTTCTGTGTTGCAGCTCTGGTCGTAAGCACCACATCAGCAGGATTTGCATTGGCTCCAGGCCCTTTTGACTGGCCCTGCTTCTTACTTACTTCCCTTGGAACAGGCCTTGCATCCTGTGCTGCCAACTCCATCAATCAGGTCAGTTTCTCACTCTTCAACCAGGTGCTGGGTAGTGGGGATGTCCAGTTTTAAGAATGTCCCAGATCCTATCCTGTGCACTCACACACGTGGCCTGTGGAGGTCTCTCGGTTTCATAATACAGACTTGCTTTTGTTTTGTTTTGTTTTGTTTTGGAGGCCAATGGTTTTCTTAGATTCCAGCGAGAGTGCAGTAGAGTATGTACTGAAATAACCAAGGTTCCTTGGGTTAAAAAGGGTTGGGAAACTATCAGTACTTTGTCCCTCAGTGCTGTCCTTATTTCAGAAATAGTTCCCTGAGTTCATCATAATTGTGTGCTATTGATTCTCCATGGTATTTCTTTTCGTTTTTTAAATTTTTATTGATTTGTTTGTTTTTAGCAAGGTCTAGCTCTGTCGCCCAAACTGGCTTTAACTACAGGATCTTCATCTTCCTCCTCCCATCGCCTCCCCAAGTGTTGGGATTATAGCAGCCACTGTGGACTTTTTTTAAGGTCACCACTGTAGAAAACAGATTGTTCTAAAGGAGCATGACCAATATCCAGCTGTAAAAGTCAGCAGCTCAGTAGTGCCGTTAGCTCGGTAGGTGCCATCAGATTACAGTACAGAGCTAATTACTAAGTATATTCTTAATTGGTAATTTTCTCCCAGCTATTTTAAACATCCAGATGATTCTCTGGAATTCATAGTTTTTTCCCGTCTGGTCACTGTGGTGTGTCCTGATGTTGTGGTTTTTTCATAAGATACTGTAGTTAAAAAAAAAAATCTTGGCTAAAACTTAAGGAAAATTGTTTTCATCACCAGAACACCCAGGAGGAGTTGGCACAGTTTTCAAACAGGAATTCAAGTTACCAGCAGGAAAGCAGCTTGACTGAGTGGATGTGTAAAAGGCTGGACTCTAAAATACGGGAATTTAATTTGATAATGCTAAAGGGCATGCACTTCCATAATGTATTATCCGGTATTTGGAGAAGAATCTATAATCTGTTTGCTTCAAATAGGGTTTCTTAATTGTTGTTGTTTTTAATGGCAAAATGATCTTATAGCAATCCCAGTGCTCGAAAGGCTAAAGCAGGATTGTGAGTTTGAGGCTGGCCTGGGCTACATAGTGAGACTCTTAAAAAAAGAACAACAAAAACAGAATCTTACAATGAGGTTAAGATAGTCCCATCATCACATGCTGGGTGTGGTGGTGTGCACCTTTAATCCCAGCCCTCGGGAGGCAGAGGCAGGTGGATCTCTGTGAGATGGAGGCCACCCTGGTTCACATCATAACTTCCAGGTGGGCTTTAACTAGGGAGACCCTGTCAAAAAACAATCAACAACAACAAAAAGATAGTCCTATCGCTTCTTTTCATAAAGTGGCTCTGTTTGGTGTCTGGTCTTTCACTGTTTAATTACTGCCTAGATCTAAGTCAGAAGAATAAGCCAGGGACACATTTGCATTTCTAGACTCTGTAAATTTAGGAGCTGCATATGTCTCTAAGGTACTGTGTCTTCCCTCTGAATTATATATGTAAACCTAAAGAACATCAAATGGTTTGTAAACCCAAGAATATTACAAAGTATAAAAATTGTGGGCCAGTGGATAAGAATGTTGACCACCAAGTCTGATGATAAGTTTAATCCCCAGGACCCCACATGGTAAAAGGAGAGTTGTCTGACTCTACACAGGTGCTATGGCACAGGCATGCCCCCCCCCCCGCCCCTCAATAAATAAATGTAATTTTAAAAAATGTCATTCAGACTGACAACTACTTTTGGCCCACACACCCCCAAAAACTGCTGCCTCAAGAATTTTTCATGAATACAACCCTCCTTGGTAGCTGGGTGGTAACTTAATTGGTAAAGTGCTTGTGAGAGGATCCATGTTGGATCTCCAGAAAACAGTGAAAAAAGCCAAGTGTGGTGGCAGGCTTCTAATCCCAGTACTAGGTAGTTGAAACAGGTAGATCCCTGAGACTACTTGGTGGATTCCAGGCCAGTGAGAGAGTCTGCCTCAAGAAAACAGGGTGGACTGCACCTGGGGAACAACACCCGAGGGTTGCCCTCCTACTGCCACACACACGTGCACACATGTACACATGAATGTGCAGACATATGTGCACATACTCACACTCTGAAGAAAACACAACCCTCTTAGTAACAACCAGAAATTAATGTGGAGTTACTGAGTAAAATGGTGTTCTTTTAGGCAAACTGATAGGAATTGAGCCTAGGCCAACGTTATAGGAACTTGAAAAGGACCTTACATTTATTCAGATGGCTGCTTGGTTTTCGATCTAAAGCGTATTTGCTATAGGGGGTGAATTGGGTTCTGTAAAATTTTAGAAATACCTTGGAAAGCCACAGAATACATGATGGGATTCCTTCTGGTACCAAGAAATCGCAGTGTCTGCCTCTGTGATAAGTATTTTCTTCTCAGTTTTCCAGCCCTACCTCCCACTTGCATAGCTCTCCTGTCCTCTGAAACATTTTGTCACGTTCTTCCCCATGTGTCACCCCATCATCATCCCCCACCCCACCCCATCTTCAGCGTTGTGAGTGGCATTTGTTCTTACTCCCCACATGCTAACAAGTGGATGTTTTCATCTTGTATTCACCCTGAGCTTCCTTCCCCTTGTCTAGGCTCTGGTTGCATTTGGAAACATCACAATACTAAATATCTTTATTTTTAGTAATTATCAATTTAAGACATTCTAGTGTTATTATTGGAGTTTTATCATCTTTCCAAATTGTAATTTTGTTCTCAGTGACACCTTGGTTCCAGTGTTAACTAGACAATCTCATAAATTTAAGAAACAGAGTAATATCGGGCCATTTTTTATCGTTTTAAATAATGTGATCAGAACAAGGAACCTATAAAGTAGGTGCCAAAGTGGGTTTTTGACTAACAGATAAGAAATAGCTTTTATTCAAAAGAAGAATTTAGGGGTTTATTTTTGTTGTTTTTTTGAAAAGTGGTGTTCACATTAAAGAATGTATATGCATGGTTGGTCTGTAGAAAAATCCTTCAGCTTCTTATAGAGTTCTGTGGGAGAAAAGTTCCTTTCTGCACATACTTATAAAAAGATTCAAATAACATTTTATATATTTTATTTCTATGTACTTTAAGCTGTTACTCATTTAGTACTGTTTCTTCATGGCCTCCAGTTTCTATGATCTCTCTGTGAAAGTAGAAAAAAATAAAGCTTTGAAAAGCAATTCTTACATTTGTTTTAAGGAGAGAAAATGAGATTCAGCTTCTGAGTCACAAAACAGTGACCAGCGCTTAGGAGATGCGTGCAAGAAACCACAGACATTGAGATGCAGAAGTGAATCACACGCATACTCTGTAATGTATATCCACGCCCCATTCGAAACCAGAGCGTGGCTTTAAAGTAGGCATGCTCCAAAGGATGAAAGCAGTCCATAGAATGTTTTCAATTTAGCAACTGACAGATAAAATGTAGATGATTTTGACTGATCTCATTTTGAGATGTGACAAACACAGCAGAAGAATTCAAGCAGAATGAATTACGAATTTTTAAAAGAAAAAGTTATCGGAAAATACTAAGAATTGTTTTTAGTTTTCAATGTAATAAACTGTAATTGGGATTATTCTGCCTACTTTATATATACAACAACCCTTCTCCAAGGATTTCCAAGGTTCCTTTCAGTTAACCACCATCAACTGCAGTCTAAAAGTATTAACTGGAAAATTCTATAAATAAACAATTTATAAGTTTTAACTATTTAGAAAATTTTTGTATGTGTATGAGAGTTTTGTCTGCATGTATATAAGTGCACCAAGTACATGTAATAGCTGTGGAAGCCTAAAGAAGGCATCAGATCCCCTGGAACTGGAGTTATAGACAGTTGTTAGCTGCCATGTGAATGGTGGAAACTAAACTGAGGTCTTCTGCAAGAACACCCAGTGCTCTTAACCACTGAACCATCTCTCCAACCTCAGTTCGTAAGTTTTAAATAGCTTACCACATATGGTTCTAATATTTTGATGTGATTAATACTGCTGTACCTGGTTTATAAATTAAGCTTTATCACAGGAATGTACATGTGGGGATAAACATAGTGCATGGGGGGCCCGGTACTCTGAGATCTTAGCATCCAGTGGGAGTCTTAGAATATTCCCTGCTTATAAGGGCAAACTGCTGTACATGACTATTTATGCAGGGTTGTCAGTAAATGTGTATGTCAATTGAGTATGTTTCTACACAATCGATTTTAGTGATGACATGGAATTCTACTTTATGCTTGTGCCTCACTTTCAACACCTAGTCAGTCCTCTGGCATTACTTTTTGCTTCTCTATGTAACACTGCACATAATTCTAATTGTTTTTAAAGGACATATTACTAAAACAAAATTGCTAGTAGGCAATAGCACATAGGAAACTTTTAACTTTGGAATATATGATCTTAACAGAATAATTTCTTTTATGCATAGAGTACTGCAGAATTTAGAGTATGCTGCTTAAATTATTCTTTAAAACGGCCCTCTGAGGTAGGTGATATGATTTCCATTTCTGTTTGTAAAACATTTTTTTGTTATTGTTGACTTATTTTTTTCTTATGTGTATGAGTATATTGCCTGCATATGTGTACGTGCACTGGTGTCATGCAGTGCCAGTGAAGGACAGAAGACAGGGTCAGATTCCCTGGAATTGGAGTTATGGATGGTTGTTAGCCACCATGTAAGTCCTGGGATTCCAACCTGGAGCATCTGCAACAACAGCCAGTGCTCTTAACTGCTGAGCCATCTCTCTGGCCCCGTGATTTTTTTTTTGTTGTTGTTGTTGTTTTAGGCAACATTTAAATTTGTTTTTTAGCTTTTTAAAAAATATTATTTTAATTTTATGTGTATGAGTATATTGCCTGCATGTGTGTAAGTGCACCTGTGTTGTACAGTGCCCGTGAAGGTCAGAAGAAGCGTCAGATCAGATCCCCTGGAACTGGAGTTGTCATGGACAACTGTTATCCCCCATGTGGGTACTGTGAATGGA